CTGACGCGGTTCGTCCTAACGCGTTTCGTCCTAACGCGGTTCGTCCTAAAGAGGTTCGTCCTAACGAGGTACGTCCTAAAGAGGTTCGTCCTAACGAGGTTCGTCCTAACGCGGTTCGTCCTAAAGAGGTTCGTCCTAACGAGGTACGTCCTAACGAGGTTCGTCCTAACGGGGCCTGTGTGTGTTTCAGATGGTGGTGGCAGATGTCTTCAATCATCGTTTCTATAAAATCTACAACCCTGAAGAATCTCTGAGCTGCATTCTGGACCGGGACGACATCTTCGTGTAAGAAAAGACTCAAAGTCGTTTTTCAAACCGCGACGCGTCGGCTGCTCCCTCGGGTCTGAAGCTGCTGTTGTGTTCAGGTACGAGCTGAGCGCTCAGGACGAGGACGCCGTGCTGCTGGCGCTCTACCTGCGGGAGCGCTCTCAGTACCGGGACTACGGGTCAGGCAGCAGCTCGTATGGAACCACTCTGTTCGGACACCCGCTGCTGCTCAACGTGCCGCGCAGCAGCTGCAGCCACGAGGAGCTCTACCAGCTGTTCCTGCAGCGGCTGGCGTGAGTGAGACCCAACAGTTGGCCACGCACGGCCCATATTTTCCTGACGGGTTTGGTTCTGTCCGTGCAGGCGCTACGTGAGACCCCCGGACCCGTCTGATGAGCTGGAGGAGGAGGATGATGATGATGAGGAGGAGGAGCTGTATAAGACTCAAACTAACGGCTTCAGTGATGGTTTCATGATTTTCACTTTGATCTAAATAAAAAATAAAAACCTTGGAGGTTCGCTGCAGGAGTTCATGTCGGGCTTTTACTTCATCTCTTGTTCAACTCTGCTGCTCGTCTGGTTGTTGTTTTTCAGACGAGCAGAACAACGTGGAGCCAACCGGGCCTTCTGCACCAGAACCCTGCTGCAGTGACGCCTCTCCAAACAGCCAGTCAGACGGCACGGCGCCGACCAAGTCTGAGCCCGACGCCAACCACGCTCAGAGCCTCCTGGATCGAGTCGATGCAGCGATCAGCAACGGCTCCCAGACCAAACCCGCCGCCGCCGGCAGCAGACCCGAGGACACGTACGCCTGCGGGGACGCCAGACCCGACACCGGCGGCAGCTCAAAACCTCCAGCAGAACCACCGCGGCAGCTCTGCGGCGCCACAGGAGGAGGAAATGAGGAAGACGAGCAGGAGGAGGCTCGCTCTCTGAGCCCGCCTCCCAACGAGCTGCCAGCGAAGAGGAGGGCGTGTCGTCGGAGGAGGCGGAGCCTCTTCACCATCCAGGCGGTCAACTCCAATGGCACAACGGAGAGGGGGACAGGAGAGGGAGGGAGCGCCGTGTCCTTCAGCTGTGAGTCCAAACACACCCCGTTACCATGACAACAGGTACACACAGGGCCCGCCAGAATCCGTCCTGATGATCCGTTTGAGTCCAGTACTCGGACTTGATCCAGATCCACATGGAAGGAGCAGTTACTGAGCAGATTTACCTCCTGATGTTTGAGAAGAAATGCTTTTATTTTTATTTAGGTTCATGGAAAATATAACGTGAGGATTTATTTCAGTGACATTCAGCAAACTTTGTTTTAAAACAGTTAAAGGTTCTGACCAGAACTTTACGGACTCTGGTGCCCGAGTAGAGAAGCATCGATTCATTCTGACCTCAAACATTTTAGAAATAACAAGAAAAACTACATTTCCTCTGAAAATGCAGTGACGGCTTATTGCTGAAGAACCTGCTGAAAAACAGCTGAAATTAGCTAAAAACATGCAGAAATGTAGCTGAAATAGAAGAACAAGCATAAATCAGCAGAAGCAGAAAGAACACGTTTGCTGAATTAGGTTTAAATAGGAAATAATTAGCACAATAACTATGAAATTAGCTAAAAAAGCTAAAATTTATTGAAAAAGTAGCCGAAAAGTCATAATGAAGCTTAAACTGCTACAAGGAAGTGGAAGGAGCTGAAAAGATATAGAAAAATGTGGAATTAGCTGAAAAAGCTAGAATTAGCATAAAACAGCTAAATAGTAGCTGAAAGAGCAGAAAAAGCTTAGCCTAGCAGAAATATGCTGAAAGGAGCATAACAAGCTGAAATTAGCAGAAAGAAGTTATTTGGCTGAAAGTAGCAGAAATTACCACAAAAAACTGAATTCAGAGTTCAGAATAAACTTTATTAGAATTGCACCGAAGTACAACGCGAATATGTACGTACAGTCGTCCGAAAGATGGGCGGAGTGCACGAAGCTGCAACTACAGGAGAGCGCGGCCATTTTATCCTTATCAGATTTGATCTGAAAACAGCTGAAATTAACTCAAAATGCTAAAAATTGTCTTTAAAGGTAGAAAAAGCTTAAATTAGCAGAAGGAAGTGGAGAGAGCACATTTTGCTGAATTAGGCTGAATAAAGTTGACATGAGTACAAAAAATGTGGAATTAGCTGAAAAGGCTAAAAATATAAACACTTCAAAGTAGTAGCTGAAATAGCAGAAAAAAGCTGAAACTTGCAGAAATTAGCTGAAAGGAGCAGAACAAGCTGAAGTATCAGGAAGAAGTTAGAAGAAGCTCAAAAATACTGTAGTTAGCAGAAAGAATCTGAAGGAAGCACAAATCAGCTGAAGAAACAGCTGAAAGTAACTGAGAAAAGTTTAAATTAGCAGCAGGAAGCTGAAAGCAGCTGAAGCAGAACATGTGAAAGGAGCAGTAAAAGGTTGTAAACAGAGCTAAAGATGTAAAATGAGATCAGTTCATTTTCTGAGAGAAAATATTAAAACTAAATATTTCAGAAAGCTAAAGTTGCACTAGTACCAAAAGTCACAGCAGGATTGTCTCAAAGGAGCTGAACGTTTTGATTTATGATTTGTTGAAATAGATGAAAAACTGCAGGACGAGAAAGATGCTGAAAAACGTACGGACTAGTTTAAAGAACCTGGAATAATAAACACAAACAGGTTGTTTGTTGTGTGAACGCTTCATAAACATTCACACAATAAACGAGACGACCTGAAGCAGTTTAATATTTACATCATGTAGATCTTTATGACCAGACCGTGCACGCCCTTTATCATCTCCTGTTGTTCTGCAGCTCAGCCCTACGTGGCCATCGACTGGGACCTGGACATGAAGAAGAGGTTCTACAACGAGAACGAGGCCGAGGTCAGAACCGTTTCCACCTTTTTAAAGAGCGAGCGGCGGCGTTCGGCCCCGAAGCGCTTTGAGCAGGCGTCAGACGGTGTGTGTGTCGTTCTCTGCAGCGCTACGTGAAACACGGCAGCATGGAGGTTCCTCAGCAGCAGAGCACGGTTCAGCTGCAGCAGTGCATCGAGCTCTTCACCACCCGGGAGACGCTGGAGGACGAGAACCCCTGGTAACAAACTACCGTTTACTTATTTTACTGATGTGACGCAGCTCCAATCAGTTTATATCCACCTTATTCAGAGCCCCCATGATGCCTTGCGTGAATTATGGGTGACTTCTGGTGCGGACCAGAACCGACGTTTGTTTATGTGAAAAGTACGAGCTAATGTAGTTTCTCTGAGCATCGTGGATTTAATTTAAACATGTAGTAACACCAGCTGTCAGAGCTCAGACAGGACAATATGATCATACCTCTGCTGCTGAGGACGAGGAGTGGAGGACGAGCTGAAGAAGTGGCTGCAGGTTACATCTACTAGCATATTTAGCAACTTATACTAGCATATTTAG